CCCTCTTAGTGTTAGTATCATGGTGAGAGTAAAATGTAAATAGTCATTTTTACATGTAGGTTTACGATATACTTTGAATTCTAATTTATTTTTATTTTAATGAGTAATATGTCTAAAAAAGGTAAGGAATTATTCAAGTTCATAGGTAAATTCTACAGTAGGTTCTATTCTATTTAATCTATCAGTAATCTCGTTTTAAATCATGCTTATGTGGGTAGATAAATAAAATGTCATCGATGTATCGAAAGTAATGTGTATCAGGTGGAATGACATCTTTAAAAGGTCCAGATTCAAGAAATTCTAGAAATATGCATGCTAGGAATCCAGAGAGAGAGGACTCCCCATCGGTAAACCAAATTTTTGTTTATAATAAATATTATTATATTGGAAGAAACAATGTGAAGTGCAAAGGATGCATAATTTGATGCATTTCGAGATAGAGATAGGTAGCTTAAAGTCAATTTTCTTAAGGTGGTTCTCTAATTGTTTAATGCATTTATCAACAGGTATATTAGTATATAAAGATTTGATGTCTAAGCTAGCTAGTAATTTGTTATCTATATCAATATTTCTCAACTTATTTAAAAGAGAGCCTGAATTCTTTATATGTGCGTTACTTACGGTGCCCAGAATTGGAGTTAGAAATTTAGTTAAATACCTACCCACATAAGCATGATTTAAACGAGATTACTGATAGATTAAATAGAATAGAACCTACTATTGAATTTACCTATGAACTTGAATCTAATAATTCCTTACCTTTTTTAGACATATTACTCATTAAAAATAAAAATAAATTAGAATTCAAAGTATATCGTAAACCTACATGTAAAAATGACTATTTACATTTTTACTCTCACCATGATACTAACACTAAGAGGGGTATTGTTATTGATTCTATTTGAGGGCTCTTCGCATCTGTTCATCAAAATATTTAAATGATGAATTTACATATATTGAGGATACCTTTTCAAATCTTTCGTATCCGAGACAATTATTACAGAGAGCTAAAAATAAAGCGTTGAAAATTCACTCATCAGCGCAAAATGACACCTCAAAGGCCACTACAACTAGATCAATGAAAGATACAATTTCATCTACCTCTGATAATATTTCGTTTGGTCGCATCTTTTACCAAATAACCATTTGACCGAACGTATCTCTCATAATCTAAATGCATTAAAATTAGAACTACTATATTACCTACTAGGACTATCCGTAGTTTATTAAATAGCACCAGCAGACAACATATTACATCCGATGCTTGCATCTATCAAATATCATGCAAAAAATTGTGACCTAAAATATGTGGGTGAAACAGGTAGGTCCTTAAATCTCGTGTTTTCGAACATAAACGAGATATTCGTCTCGGTATTTAATAATGCTTTAGTTGTACACACAACTAAAGCAGATCATAATTTCGATTTCGATTCCGTGAAAGTATTAAAATATTTTCATAATAAAAAAATCTCAGGAGGATTTATGAAGCAGGTATAATATCCATCTCACGCACGGTGAATACTAGACCTGGTTTCTTTAATATTTCCCCTTTTTTAGCGAGATTGATGCTCGACAAGCATACACATAAGAATTTTAGAACCTAATAGAATTTTTTTCATTTTTTTTTCTTTTTCATTTCAAAATAATCACAAACTTTTAGGAATACGTTATGAAAGCGTCGCCCATGTGACGACAGCGTGACCATGTTAGACGGAAGGCTGATCATTTTAAAATTTTCAGTTATCTGTTCTGAATAAGACTTGTGTTTTTATGTCCATCGTATTTGTCATATTGAACTGAATTGTATTTTGATGAATATTGTCTTGAAAAAGGTTTAATAAACCGAAACGTCAGACGTCGACATTTCTTTCATTTAACTACATTTAAGGATTTTTGTTTGTTTTTTCAAAATTTCTTCATATATATATATATATATATATATATGCATATATATTTATATATATATATATACACGAATTGAATATGTCATTATAACATCTAATCAAATATGCTAGGAAAATCCATTTAAGAACGAATATCACTACCACTACTCCGATTCATCATTGTACATATTTTTCATATTAACTTAATGAGATATAGTTATTTTTATACAGCATTGTGAGTGAAGTTAGTTGATTCCTCGATGGTTGTGCTAGTACTAAGTCGCAAGTCATCATGTCCGAGAGTTTGAGCCTACGCCAGATATTGCTCCTTCTCCCAGATGGTATGAATTATGATTCTTCAGTACAGTTGCAGTATAAACCATAGGTAGGCTCTGCAAGTGCAGAACAAACAAAAATGTGCCTGCAACGAGGATTGGCCAGTCGTTCTATTAGACAGGCATACTCAGAAACAAGCGGCCAATTATTATTATTATTATTATTATACATATATTTTTATGAAACTGCAAGAATATTCGAATATATGGTGGTCTTGACTGTTGTCGAATGCAAGGACAGTTCTCATGAAATGATGAATAAAGTGTTTATGTAAACAAAAATGGACACTCTTGTAGATTATTGATTGATTTACTGATTGCGAGTGGTCGAAAAATGCCACATTGTCCTAAATATGGACGATTTCATAATGAAATACGGGTTAAATGTGTTTTATCCTGGTATAAGAATTAATTTTATGTCCAGTGTGCAAAATATCCCTATAAAATATCCCTATGAAATGTTTCTTATTGATGTGTTATTGTACAGGAAGAAGCCTGCTGAAAGATCTAATCAAATTCTTCCTTTTTCACTGCTTTTTTTTTTTCATATTTTTCAGTTCGCAAGTGCAATAAAACGATCTCAGTTATAGAGGCTGATATTATTTTTTTCACGCAACTGAAAGTAAATCTCGTTCTGTAAAGTAAAAGACACGTGTATAAACATGGAAACTTTGTGTATGTGTTAAGTCTGAGTTATAAAGAATTCTAGTGTAAAAATGGCACATGAAATGAACCACTTGCCATTAAAAGACATTTACAATTATGATTTAAAACTGGCATTTCTCTTTACGCTTATGGCTATGCCTTTTGTTGAAATTTTGTGCTAAGAATTGTTTGTAGAGTTGGCTCAGTTAAAGTTTCGAAAAACTTTATAATAATTTGAGAAAATGTTTTGCTGCAACGATGATTATCACACCTAACGAGTAATTTGGCAGTGGGAAGAAATGAGTTTTATATTGTCCGGAAAAGACAATTTTACTCTTTAGTCATATTCTATGTTTAATTATCTACTTGATGAAAGGGTAATCAGTAGAATTGAATCCACTGATTGTAATGAGAGATTGTGAAACGATGTGTGTATAGATAGTGTTTCTCAACCTTTTTAAGCAACGGCACAACTAAGAGCAAATGAAAACATCACGACACACTTAACAAAATTTTTAAAAGGTATGCATTTAAATATTGTGAAATAAACCATACATTTAAAAAAAAAATACACACACAGATATGAACTTTCTTTATGTCAATGTTTCTATTCAACTACTCTTGCAGGTTATTTAGTGTATAACCTGTGCTCGGTGTTTTTTCGTGATTTCTTCAATGTTTGGTCGAATGTGCGATAAGCAAACCCACATTTCTTCTTCCATTGAGTGTAGTCTTTCTCGCTTCTTATTTTTGATGTTATTTAGGATGGAGAAGCCTAATTCACATAAACAAGAAGTAGAAAATTGCAATAAAACTGATAAATCCTTTTATCTAAAGTGGAATATTCCTTTTGTATTGAAATCTAAAATGTATCAATAGATACCGTCGAATGTTTTATTTTGAGCCAGCGATCACCATAAATGGTGGCCAATTCTACTTTTTCTTCTTTCTATAACTGAAGTCCAATATTAGTAGGAATATTTATGAAGGGATTTTGAATCCAATTATACTTTTCTGTGCTCAATGACGGAAAATAATAGTCGATGTTTTCGTCGAGCGCTTTCAGGTGGGCAACCATAAAAATATGAATATTTAAACAAAGTATTTAAAATAACATAATCGAAGATTAAGGAAAATAATTATTTGAAAAAAAGAAGTTCAAGGCTTACTCATTTATTCAAGTACTAACGCTGTAGCATTACTACTTCCACACACACACACACACACACACAAATATGCAGGGTGATTGAAAACTAACTCCCTATTTTATGTATGATGGACTCTCCGGTGTAACTATATTTTTTACAAGATGAGAGAGTCCATCATGCAAAAATAGGGAGCTACTAATCAATTACTCTGCATTTACATGCGTTGACAATATTACGCGGCACACTTGAGAGGATCGCGCAGCACACTAGTGTTGAGAATCAATGATCCAAACAGATATAAATAGTTTGACAGCAATATTCAACCTAGTGAAAAAGACTTTACATTGCATAAAAAAAATTATATTACTTAAAAATGATTTTATATTACAATTAATTTATAAGAACGTTTTATTTATTTTTATTTATCGGTTTATTTATTTTACTATTACTTAAAAATATCATTCTAATTCTTAACATTTTACACTGCATATTCGAAACAAAGGAAATTTAGAAGAATCTTTTAGTTTTTATTTTATAAATAAGTTCTTGATTGAAATTAAAGAATATTTTTCAGGAAACACGTTTATATTTTGGATTGGTATTTTCATTGTGATATAATCGAGACAAATCATTACGTTTTCTAATCAGAAATATCAAGTAAAGATCAGTAAACATAAAAGGGCTGTGATATACGGGATTAACAGTTCTGTCGTCATTAAGCAATAATCCCTGTAAAATGTTAGGTACGCATTGATATTACCAATTCCGAAATATCGAGTACTGTTGTCAAAATCATAAGCTCACTGATTGTAGCTTTGAGAAATATCTAATGATCTTCACTTTATCACGCCCCTATTGTTCTGTCTTGGATGTGCAATGCGAGTAAGCATTTTTCTCTGGCCGCATAATAACGCTTTCCTCGCAATTGCAAGGCATTGTTAACCAGCAGCTTGTTATTGACTTGCATTGAAATTTCTTTTTACTTTCTGATGTCTTCTTTGTTCACGACCTTTCTTTTTATCTGCTTGACATATCTCTTCTTTTTCCTCCCTCATTTACAATGCATAGGCTTCATCTTATTAATAATTCCTTTCTCTCCTCCTTCTTTACTAACCAGTCTTTATCTTTTACTTTTCCTTACTTGCTATTTCTGTTTTATTATTTTTGTCTGTTCTCCCTGCTTTCGTTTTTTTTTATCGCTATCTCTTGCATTCCTTCTTGATATTTTTTCTTCACACTTGCAGTTCTCAATCAGAATGTTACTGTCTATTTCTTTGTCTTTGCCATCCTCACTTTCCTCATTCTTCTTTTTCCATATTCAATTCTATGACAATTATTATTTCAATATTTTCAAGGTTATTAAACGGAGTATATAAAACTTTTTTCAAGGAAGACGTATAAATTGTAAAATGAGTTACTTTGTAATTGGATATCTTTTCAGTGAGTGTCAAATAAAGGAATGAATAAAAAATAAAAACTCGTTTTATTTCTGTTAATGCTTTCTTTTATGACTTATACGATGAGCTTTGTAGCCGTCTGATGCAGTATATCATATTTCATATGATCTATGTAATAATAAAGGGCTTTTGCTGTTATCCACCAAAAATCATTCACGTATATTCTGTTGTCAAAAGACAAATTAACTTCTTGTAGGCCGATTCTTATTCTTAGGAATTTAATGACATGACGTAAATCTGAAATTAAATAAAAAAAAAGTGTTGTTTATTACGTTTTAAGCAATCAAAAGAGAATATTCCATTTGCCATGCATACCTTAAAACAATAACATATCTATATATAGAATACACCACATATTTATATTTCTTGTAACTTTTTGACTTTAACTAGAGCTATCTTCCTTGCATTAGGTAGAAATACTTTTGTTACGACAATAGTAAGTTATTCCAAGATATTTATGAAACTGTGAAATGAAAAGACCGACTATGTGAAAGAACAGAGTACACAAGAATAAGATTCGGAAATATATTTTAAAACTCCTATGTTACCATATTGGTAAATACTTAAAAATACTACTTCCATGTATGCTATCATTTTGGGGGTCTAAACGAGTATTTAATAAACAGTAAAGATCTTTCATATTTCGTTCTCGAAATAAAAGTTAATGTAACAAAATTATAGATGTATGCTTCATTCTTCAGTGACTTTATATGGTCTTATGGTAGATTTGTTGTAAAACGTCGGTAATTTTTGATCGGAAAACGAAAACTCAGGTTTCATACCAGTGTTAAGAAAAATTTTTTTAAATTCTGTCTTGAGTGTCTTCCGGTTTTCATCATTTGCATAATCATCTCTCTCTCTCTCTCTCTCTCTCTCTCTCTCTCTCTCTCTCTCTCTAACGCGTTTAAGGCGAATAAATCTTTCTAGATAAAATTCTCAAAATTAAGAAATTGATCATCGATAGCAAATAAAATGTTCTACGGTTTATCTACTGTTTCAGAGTTTCGCAGAGGTAAATCCATTCTACAGAGGAAAAATAAATCAATACGTATTCGCAGCCTTCAAGAAACACACTTTGTTTCTGAACATCATATGCCTTTTTATAGTTCCTGTATCACTTCAGTACAAATTTCTATTCTTCATATGTCTGATATTAGCTACTTTAATACATTAATTTTTTAATCGTGTTCACCACATGCAAGGCAATAAAGCCACTAAGACACAAGGGCTTACTGGGTGTGGAAGAATTAGGAACAAAATTATTAGAGTGAAGAGAAAAGAGTAATCAGGAGGACAATGGATAGCAATTGGCATTGCATTTAAAAAAATTAGATTAAAGTTGGCTGGAAAGCATGGAGCCGGAAAGGAGTTCTACTAGCGAGAGGTGCGAGAAAAGAAACTGTTAGCATAGAACTTGCGATTACATCTAGCCAACTCAACTGTAAGTTGATGAGATCTCGACGCCCGTCTAGTACTACGCTTAAACTAATAGTCTACGTACCATAGCAAGGAGTTCATCCGAACAATTACCATGAAGGTGTTTATAGAAAAGACTCAGGCAACTTTAATGGTAAAAATGCGACATACTTATTGAAAGTATACTTAGGAAATGTATGTGTTTATGTTTGTATGTTTAGTCGTTCATTTACTTCTATTTTTAATCCTACTAATTAGGGAAAATATATTTTTTCTTTTAATATTAATTGTTACTTGTAGCTGTAATATAACCGCTTTATATTGTCTACCCCAGGCAAGAAAGACAACTGACATATACTTAGGGTTTGGCGTCAAGGACTGGTCTTCTTTCTGTTCTCCTCAATGCTTTTTTCATTGTTTGTTATGGGATGTTGAGGGACGAATGTCCTTGAGTCGTTTCAGTTTAATACGCAGTGTGAATTTCGGTCACCCTAGACATCTTCACCCTAAAACTGGTCTGATTTTAAGCAGAAAATATTTGAATATTTATTAGTTAAAGTAATAGTCTGTTTTGGTGCGGTTTTATAAGTGGCAGATAGTGTCAAAATATTCGGAATAGGTACTAAAGATGACTTGAATGACGCAATTATTACCTGAGTAAACTATGCAGAAATTACTTTCGAGTTTCAAGAACGCTCAGTTCACTAATATTACAATTATTGTTTTATTTCCTTTGGCTTCTGGTGTATCATTTCTTTCCGGGTTCCGACCAGAGACCTAAGGTCAGAAATGGCATCGTTTCATTTTCCACTGAGCAGTTTAAAAAAAAAATGCAGATATTTTACATAGATAAAGCCCTTCGTAAGATGCGGGTACAATTTTTTTGTATTTCTTTAAAGCAGAGGGATTCCTTCAATGAGTCCATTGGAATCTTTTTCAATCAATCCGAAGGCTCCAACTACAACTGGAATTGTTACAAATTGTTCAAATTACAAATCTAAATTGATTGTCCATTTAAAATACTCAAGATTAAAAAAATGGAGCAGTTTTACTTTTATTAGAAAATTTACATAATCAGTTTAAAAGCTGAACGAGTCACGAAAATGACTTGAAAGTGCCCGCTTCTACACTTTTTCTGTTATCCAGCTGTAAGTGAAATTAGCCCTCGCGACGCGCGACACACACGTCCATTTCAATTTCATTCAAACTGTGTGTGTCTGTGTTTGTGTGTATGCGTTCGTGCGTGTACTTTTGTTTGTGCACATATATTTTAATTCAATAACACGCCTTTAATATTTCTACAAATTTTTATTAAAACTTAAAAAAATCTATTTATTATCAAATAATGTTTTTGCTTCCATCTTTATGATTTTATTGATCAGCCTAGGGTAGGGGTTGTCAAGACTGAATGATAGGGGAGTGTATTATTCCAATGTCTTGGAACTCAGTCAAATTGTGCACGTGTACTTGTGTGTGTGCATTAAATTGTAAAAGTACATTTAAGTCACGCACTACATAGATATATACAATCACAGGATATATAGAAGGCGAGAAAGACAGAAGCAAACAGCACATAAGCTACCTAACGAGCTTATGTAAATGGTTGCCTGTACAGGGATTAGGAGAGATAGAACATAACTAAGAGCTACAAAGGTCAGGAAATTCTAGGGAGCTCTGATCACCCACGTCCTATAGTGACACGGCGCATAGAGGAGGAGGAGGAGAAGGAAGAAGAAGAAAATAAAGTAGTAGTTTCTTCTTTACTCCAGCACAATTTTCAATATCTTAACTGCTTCAACAATGCCGTCATCCGAATGGTTCGATCTCTTCCTTGATTTCTATTTGTTCCAATCTATTTCCTAGACTCTTTTGATACCAGTGATTCCATAATGAGTGTCACGACAATTACCTTTTTATTCTATAAGTTCCTCATCTCTCTCGCAAGAAGCAGACATTTAGTTATTGTTTCACTTCCTTACAAGGTCTACTCCTACTCCACCACAAAAGTGAAGTCCACTCTCTGCTTGTTGTTTAACTGATACCAAATCCAGTCTTCTGTATCATTTCATTCATTTGCATGTTCAACTCAGATGTTTGGTGATTTTCGCTGGAGACTGATTTTTCTGATTCCTCCTAGACCCCAGCGATGCTGCGCTATGGACAGTTTCAATACTTCCTCGAATTTTCCATAACTCCAAGTGTGCCAAATAATACAAGTGTCACCCTACTTTCTATGTTCCCGGGCAAGTTCATGGTATTTCTCCAATTTTCCACTTTATTTAGTTTTCCCGCCGTATAACAATCATCTCTCTGACCTGGTAGGTCCTCTTTTTTCCTATTACGACCGGCAAATCCAGTCTTTTCATATAGGTAAAATCATAAAAGAGAGATTGAGTGAGAAAGATAACGTTTACTTTTCATGCCTCTTCTTACCACGCTTTCATTTGTTTTTCTTTTCTTTCTTTTTTGTCTAAGGTGTTCTCGATTCGATCAGGTCCAAGTCATTTTATTTTCTATTTCATTTGTTTGTCGTCTACCTGAATTCTCCTGGAGCTTCTTTTAGATTTGTTGTGAGGGAGAATATTTCCCTACAAGTTTGGACTCGGCCGTCAGATGAAAGACATAAAAATACTTCTACATCAAGAGGAGTAGCAGGAGGAGCAATAGCTTTTGCTGAAACAGTCATTCATGGCTAAACATTCTCTTCCCTAGTTTCTATTCTACATTATGTTTCCCATGTAGCAAAAGGTAATAAACTTATTGTTAAACCAATTCCCATTTTCTACTATTGTCTTTGATAATTCAGTTACAAGGTTCTTCTTTGATTATTTGTTGTCTTTTTTGTTTCAAGTTTTTTTACGTCATTCTTTCTCTACTCTGCCGTTTTAATTCTGTTTCTGATTTTATAACATAATACACAGCATCTTCTATGCTGATCAATCCTCTTGTCTCTTTACTAACTTATTCTCAAGATTTCAAAGTTTTCGCTATTCTCATATATATTTTAACTTTCTAGTTTATCAATTCAACGTTTTGAATTTATCTGGAGACCTAATTATGGACACTACCAGTGTGGTCATATATTTGACAGTTTGCTTTCTAAAAAGCACGAAATATTCTAAAACATCTTTTTATTATAGCTTTTCTTTCTTCGTTTATGGAATCTTTTCACATTACTCCAAAATATGCCTACCATTCAATATCATATGTTTTGATCGGTTAATTCCTTCTCGCATAATTTTCTACTCCAATTTCTATACCATCATGTCATCTAGAAAATAATATTTCAACTAATATTTCCATCTCAGTTTTGTTTTCCAGAAATAATTAAAGTAACTGCATGTATTAAGCGGCTTTTCCATTAAATTTGTGAATTTTTCGATTTGCAGAATTATGGATATATAAAAGAGTTTTCCTACATTTATATTGATCTTCCGTAGAGATTTTTTTCTCAAATTAAATAAGACTATTTCAATATTTCCTCAATTCGTAATCATTTTAGATATTGTAAAATCCCGATTTGAAGACTCATCCATTTTGATATAATTGACTACCTCAATTATTTCTTAGGTCTTTTAAATTGTTTGATCCTGGGATCATTTGATTCGATACCTACTTTTTTACAATTGTTTCACTTTTCAGTCGTAGTCTAGTTGTCTAATAAGTGGTAAACTGCTTCCATTATATATTTAATGGGGAGTTGATACTTCAGGTAAGTGTGACATGTCATGGGTTTGAAACTGTTGTTATTTTGTCCTTCCTTAATTAAATCTCCTTGGCTATTTACCATCTATTCTGGTGCTTTTTAGTTTCAAGGTTCACTATGACGAACAAATCTAATACGACATACAGCATATTTCTAGTAATATATTATATCGATAAAAATGTTCAGGTAAATATGTGCGAATATATATGTGTGTGTGTGTGTGTGTGTGTGTGTGTGTGTGTGTGTGTGTGTGTGTGTGTGTGTAAGTAAAGCAAGCGACTTAGGTGAAAGACCATGTTTAATTAATTTTAGTTTTTTCCATACTTTAATCAAATACCTTAAACTGCAAGCCTTTCATTCCCATGTATTACTACTACGTGTAAACAGCATTAGCAATTGGTAATGACAAAAGGCTTTCAGTAACAATAGAAATGTTGTTATTAATAGAAGTAATAATTATTTTGGCGTCAGTCATAATGAACGTAATTTTGTAATAAGCTGGTTCAACTAAAACATTAGCACTGAATTGGTTTCACTCGACCAGCACAACTGAGAACTCCTCTTACCTGTTACCGCCAATCCGGACAACTAATTTGCACAGGTGCCTTACTTACCTGGCATTGATTAATGAAGTACTAGCTCTAAGTTTGACATTATATGTGCTAATTGAACGTATTCTGTAAATTTATTGAATTTGAATTTGAAACAGGTGTAAAATCTATAAAAATGGGAGCTGGATATGACGCTATCAAGATATTGCAACGATAATTGAAGAGG